GAGTCAAAGTGCTTAGATGAACAGCTCCAAAAGTCAAATGTTGAAAAATACAGGGAGACAGAGGGAGTAATTCATTAAATAAAAAATACATTAAATTTAAAAAACACAAAAAGAATTACATTAAATAATACCACATCCAATATTTAGCCTTGATTTCTTTTTGCTTTTTTCTCGTAGTGCATTCTTTTCAATCTCATTAACATATCAATGTCTTTATCAAGTATTTCAAGCTCCTCCTTTTCTATCTTTCGTTTCTCCCTCTCTTCTTCCCTAAGATTGAACAATCACATTTGTTCAACCCTTTGCCGGCCGATATCATCCTGAGAGTAAACAGAGTCGGACCTAGAACCTGAAATAATTGATTTAGCCTTCCTTCTTCCAATCGGCCGTGGAATGGAGTTGAAGTTATCTAGGTTCACGGGAGGCCTTTGTTTCGATGAGCCAATAACATCCTCCACGTCAATCTCGGTGGAGGATCTTTCTTTGACGATCCGGCCTCAGGATTGTAGAGTTGTTGCGATTTCGATAAACAGCTTAAAACTTTCCAAAAATCAATAGGGACTTTGTCTTGGTGCCCGTCGTCTTGATACCGAGCAGTCGCTTGCCGCAGAATATCGGCATCGTTCGTCCGGATTTTCCTAGACCTCGTGCATTCTCGTACATTTTGATAAATTTTTGGACTTTTTTGTTTATGTAGCCCCATTTGGAGTGAGTTGGTCTCGGCTTCGGTACGAGGCTGGGGTCGTTGTTCATTGCAGCAAAGAACTTCTTCTCAATATGATCCCACATAGCATCTCTTGTTTAATCAGAACCTTTAAGAAAACAAAATATATACTCCCTCCGTCTTATAGTATTCGTCCAGTTTTATTTAAAACAAGGGGAATGTTGCCTGAATATTTTCCCGCCCATACTTGTCCAACTCGTATATGGAAAGTGTTGACAATACAAATGATAGTTTAATTATGTTTCCTCAATATTTTCCTTCCATTTGAATTATGTTTCCATTTTTATTTAAATGCTACGCCATTTTAGTATTTATATTAAATTTAATTAAATTAAATTAATTAAGTAGTAGCGAACAACAGGAGAATTATAGTATGGAAATAAAATACGGTACCACTTAAATGCAAAAAAATAAATTAACTACAAATTAATAGAGTATGGACAGGATTAGAATGGTTCATATAAAAAAACTACAAATTAATGATTATTTTGAAAAGATATTATAATTTACAAGCATGGACGTGTAAAAATGATGTTCTAAAATAAATTAGAAAATCAATACGGTACGGTAAGTAAATTACACGATTAAAATACAAAAATAAAATAAAAACTAAAAATTAATATTAATACTATAATTTACAAGAATGGAAACGTTTTAAAAATGGTAAGTGTTCTAATTAGAAAATAAATATGGTACGGTAGGTAAGCAAATGGTACCATTTAAACATAAAAATAAAATAAATGGTAAGTATCCTATATTAAATTAGGTAAGTGTTCTAAAATAAATTAGAAAATAAAATAAATCTAAAAATGGTAAATGTTCTAAAATAAATTAAAAAACAAACGCGGTACAGTAAGTAAATGATACCATTTAAATATAAAAATAAAATAAAAAAACTACCACCTATATCCCAAAATGTAAGGAACATTTCGAACCACATGCAAAATATCATCTCTTTTAAAATCATTTTATTTACAAATTGGTAGAAAAATAAAAAATAAAAATATCACTGTTCAAAAGTAGTTCAAAAGTTCTACAAAACAAGATGTGACAAAAGTATTTTATTTTATCAAATGATCAACAAAAACGAGTAAACAAATAAAAAAGTTTGTGAGGCCAAAATAGTAAATGTTGCTTACATTTTGGGACAAGGAGTACAAATTAATATTAATACTATAATTTGCAAACATGAAAACATTTTAAAATGGTAAATGTTCTAATTAGACAATTAGAAAATAAATACGGTACAGTAAGGAAATGGTACTATTTAAACACAAAAATAAAATAAATGGTAAAAGTTCTAAAATAAATTAGGTAAGTGTTCTAAAATAAATTAGAAAATAAAATAAAATTAAAATGGTAAGTGTTCTAAAATAAACTAAAAAATAAATATGGTACGGTATGTGAATGGTACCATTTAAACACGAAAGTATAGTTAAAAAAACTACAAATTAATACTATTAACTAATACTATAACTTACAAGCATGGAAACATGTAAAAATGGTAAGTGTTCTAAAAAACATTTAAAAATAAATACGGTATGGTAAGTAAATGGTACCATTTAAATACAAAAATAAAATAAAAAACTACAAATTAATACTATTAGTATTATAAGCATGGAAACGTGTAACAATGGTAAATGTTCTAAAATTAATACTATTAAGGGAGAAAGACCAAAGTAGGACTAAAACATTGAAAATATACCAAAATAGGACTTCCATGTTTTTATTCCCGAAATAGGACTTACATTACCAAGCATGGTCATATACATTACCAAAAAAGTATAGTAATTTACACATGTACACTGCCACATTACCACAATGCAAAGTCACATTACCACAATGCAAAGTCTTATTCCGGGAAAAAAACATGAAAGTCCTATTTTAGTACTTTTCTCTATGTTTTAGTCCTATTTAGGATGATTTCTATACTATTAATACTATAATTTCCAAGCATGGTCACATGTAAAAATGGTAAGTGTTCTAAAATAAATTAGAAAATAAATACGATACGGTAAGTAAATTGTACTATTTAAATATGAAAATAAAATAAAAAACTACAAGTTCCAAAATAAATACATTAATATAATTTTTCTTCTATAAATACGATCATTCGCAAACTCTGTTTCACCTGAAAATTCGTTACTACCCTCTTTCTCCTATGTGTTCATTTCTTAATATTGCTCAATTCTACCTTCTTATTTTACTTTTAATCCAAAACTTATCCAGACTTACTTAAAATAGCCAATGATCTAAATTATTTGCAAGATCGTGCAATTTGGCTCCAACATTGGATGTCGTCGATTCTATAAATCAGTATATGACAGTGATGAATCCCAGCAATGAATATCGGACATATTTTTGTTCTGACAAGGTAGAGAACTCGGACTGTAATTCAAGTTTTTTGAGTGACTTAAAAACTTCCTTAGAATATAGAGAAATAGTTTTAGGCGTAGAATGTAGAAGAATCTTGTCACCGGAGTCGGTCGGTTTCTGGTCACCTTCTCTGACGAGGTAACTTCGTTTTATGTTTCAAACTTGTTTTTTTATTTTTTATCCAAATACTTCTTATAAAACATATTGAAACAATTTGGACGTAAAGATTTGTTGAAATTGTATGGCGCTATCGAGACCCATTTTTGGTCATCTTTTTCTTACGTGTTGCTTACTAAAACATCTTCCTTGCTTAATTTCTCACTTTAATAACTTAATAAAAACCTTTTGGGGCTAATTTTAAATAGTTTGGATGTAAAGCATGTTTTAAACAAAAGCCGGCGGCCTTCACGATTATCGGCGCTGGAAATTAAATCAATTGGATATATATATATATATATATATATATACACATACATATATATATATGTGTGTGTGTGTGTCTATATATATATATATATATATATATATATATATATATATATATATATATATATATATATATATATATTGATGGTGTAATTACTTGACCGGTCAAACTATACTAGACCGGGTCTAGAATAGTTTGCTTGATTTGGTAAAGTAAGAAAGGTAAAAACACGCAGATTGACCGGTAGGACTTTAGGTGGAACACCTGTAGCCCAATTTATATTATAACGGAGAATGCACGGGTGCTTTTACAAGGGAGTTTAGAGAGAATGAATTCGGATCCCTCTTTCTAAGGTTTACATGAGTATTTATACTAGGCTAAGGGGGACAGGACCACGTGCGCCCACGTGGGGGCACGCTGCTGATGTGGTGCGAGGTGACTGGTTTTGTCCTCGAGGAGCCTTGTCGCCTTGTGAGGGGAATTACTTCCCTTGTCGCGTTTTGGCTTGGAAACATTCCTTCAGCATCTCCAGTTGTCCTTCACTGACATGGGTCGCTACACGCCAAGCCCTTTTAGATTCTCTTCTGACGACACTTTCCAACCCTAGAAACTACACCGGGTAATCTCCGAGGGATGAATTCATCGAAGTCTGGGAATAAATAGGGTGGCAACGTAGTTTGACCGATATACTTTTTCGTGAAGTATACCGGTCATCTTTTGCTCGATTACATATCGATTTGCTGACGATCTAAGTCTCCCTTCCAAGACTTTCGAGATTGACCGGTCAACTAATTGGTCTTCTCCTTTGACCGGTCGTGGGTGGAATACACCCATCAATAAGCCCTCCATTTCTCGGTCATGCAATTTGTCATGGGCGGGAAGTAAAAAACCTTGAAAACGGGTTCAAATTTTGAATTTCTGTCCGTTTCCCGCTAGAATATTTCAAATTTTGAATTTGAAAAGTATCCGTTGGACACGTGACGCGCGCTGGATGCGCCTTCCCTGCGTTCGTTCGCCTTCCCCAGGTGTCATGATGGCGCCGCCTGACGCGGCGTGCCCAGAGGAAGCCTCGTCGCCCTCGCTCAGTTCTTCCTCGCCTATATAAAGGCCTCCACCCCTCTCCTTTGTTCACTTTCCGCGATCAAGTCTCAGAGCTTTCACCGGTCAAGTTCCTTCTCTTTCGCTATCCAGCCCTCCGAGTCAAGTAAGTTTCCCCTTCCTTCTCTACTTTCTTTCCCGGTCATGTCTTCTTTTAGCGATAGGATTTCGTCCTCAGAGGACTGCTTCTCTGAGGACTCCAACTCATCTCCCTCGACCGGGTCTTCTTCTCCTGACTCCACGCCCGGTCAGGTTCCCAACTCCTCTATTCCCGACCCGCAACCTGTTAATCAGATGCCCGGTGAAGTTTTCATGGGGAGGGATGACCCGGTTGATGACGAACCGGGTCCCTACGACCCTGAAAACGAAACCCGGGATGCGTGGGAGGAGCGGCTCCATGCCGCCGGTTACTTTCCGCTCCCCACCTTCTACGTCCTTGACATTCCTTCCCATGTTTCCAAAATTGCTTTGAACAAAATCCGTAGGAGGCTCCCGGATGGGTATACCCTTCTGTATGAACATGACTGGCCCAATATTGTTGAACCCCACCGGGAGGATAGGATAGGGTTTCACACGATTTCCCTAGACGCGGACATCGTTTTTCCTCTTCGCCCCCTCCTAACCGAAGTATGCCATGCGTTTAGGATTTTACCCGGCCAAATAACTCCTAACACCCACCGGTACCTCCATTCCTTTGTAAATATTTGCTCTCAACTGAAAATCGATCCCTCTTTGCGTCTTTTCCTTTTTTGTTTCGAAGTCCTACCGAGCGGGTCTGGCTGCGAAGGTTTTGTATTCTTCAAAGCCCGTACCGGTAGGAAGTTCATTTTCGAAGTCCCCCAAAGTAACCGGGGATGGAAGGAAAAATTTGTTTTCATCGAGTTTCCCCCCTTTGTCACTCCTTTGGCCGGTCTGAAATGGAACGACCATCTCCTCGACCAAGAGTGTGATGCACCGGCTTCCTCCCCTGACTTGGAAGCGAATCTCGAGGTCCTCATGCACGGGGATCCTTTAACCGGGAGGATCTTCCATTATGGCAGTTGGGTTTGGAGGGTGGAGTCGGGTGGTGAGGGTACCTCCCAGGCCCATGAAGCAGCGGGGCGCGGGGTACCCTCCCCGGGCAACACTGCAGAGGCTAAGGGCCAGAACCACCCAGGTATTTTTCATTCTTCTTGCGATTTGTGCTTTGACCGGTACCGTTGCTTATACTTAATGATGTTAGTTTCTTCTGCAGATATGGAGTTCGAGGAGTTTGCCATCCCTGATGACCAACCAGCGGGAGAGGCCGGGGGTTCCAAAGCCGGAACTGCCAAAACTTTCACGGTCCAACAAGAGACCGTGGAAGTCCATGATCTAGATGAGCCAGAAGATGACCGGTTGAAGGGCAAGGAGAAGATCGGCCGGCGGATAAAGAAGGTGGCCACCACTCACCCTTCTTTCGCCAAGAAGAGGCAAAGGGCTGACTCTGACATGGGCTCACAAACCATCGAGGAGGCCTTCGTCAACCTTGGGCTGAGGCTGAGGGAGGTAAGTTGAATTCCCTTCCCGGTATGTTAGGTCCCTACTTTTCTCGGGAGTTTAACCGGTTGGTTCGTGCATGCTGCAGGTTGGAGAAATCGGACCCCTTACAGCTAACCGGCTAGGGTTAGGCTCTCCTTCGGAACTTGCCCGGCTGAAGAAGGAGAAAGAGGAGATGGCTCTCATCTTGAAGAGCCAAGCTGACGAGCTGACCAGGTTGTCTGGGCTGAACGGGTCTATGAAGGTGGAGATCTCCCAGCTGAAGGAAGAAAACTGCCGGTTACTCAATGAAGTTTCTGGGGCGAAGCAGGAGATGGCCCAGAAGGAAAAAGACTTCCCCGGTCGTGCTGCCGCATAGGTGGGAGAGAACAAGGCTGAGGCTGCCCGGGTACTTACAGAGACTCCGGAGACGACCATGGAATCTTTCAGGCTGAGGGGAATTAGATGATCACCGCGATTGGATCCTTTGGTTTCAAGAGCGGTCAGAAGAAAGACCGGATTGCCTCCCACCGGGTTTTGCTGAGAAGGGACCCGGAGTTCAGCACTGCCTCTTATGGCCTGGCCCCGATACCGGAGGAAGAGCCTTCTCCCCCCTTCCCCCTCGACTAATCTCCCCGGCTGCGCCCGGTAATTTTTGTAAAACTTTGACTTGAAATTTCCCCGGGTATGCCCGGTGTACTTGTAAACATTTGACATTTTCTGTTTTGTTAAATGCCGTGTTTGTTTTCTTACCCGGTTAATCTTGCATATCTGCTTGCTCGTTGATTGATACTTTGCTCTTGCTTCTTAGAATATAATCATAAAAATTCTGACCGGTAAATAAATCAGGCCACTTCTCAATTGTTTCCGACCGGGAGAACTTCAAAGTTCTCTCTGATCACTTTATCTCAAGGATCAGCGCGAGTAACTTGGACCGGTCAAACTTCAATTTTCGCTTTCTCGGCTTGTTTTTGGATACTCTAAGTCCAACCCGGTTGAACTAGAGTGAACCGGCTGAACCTTACTTTGGCTTTTGGATACCTTCGTGTTTCCAGTGAATTCTTCGATAAAGTACAGTTTGACCGGTAGGTTCCACTCCATGGTCTGACCGGTCAACTGCCTTGCCTTGTGCCCATACTCGACCGGGGTATTCTTTTTTTTTTTTGACCGGTAGGTTGTAGATGGAAACACCTGTAACCTAGTAATTCTTGAAGTATCCTTAACCGGTAAGAATACTGGAGATTTAACCATGTCGAATGGTTTCGAACCCTCTCCAAGGTTCAAATGCACCCTTCTTCCAGGGCCCCCTCTTCCGGGTGATTAAGTCTTTTAATGGCCCTTTAATTTCTACTATCCCGGGAAGGCCTTAGCTCACCCCCCCGTTCAAGTCTTCCGGAGAAGGGGGAAACAGGATGCGCCACGGTGGACGATCCCCTTCTATTTCTTTTAATGGGCATATTTTAGTCCCTAGTCAATTTGACGGTACCGGCTGATTCCCCGATACCGTTCAAACCTCATGTTCCTGTGTAAGTACGGTTCGAACCTTCTTCCAGGTCCAGCCCTCTTGCAGGCATACCCTCTTCCGGCCCCTCTTCCGGGTTTTAATATTTTTTTCTATTATACTGAGCAAGACCGGTGTAGTAATCAGCGTGCCAGGTCCGGGCCTGTGTCTCAGTTGGCTTATCCAAGTGGATTTGATCCACCCGGGAAGCCCTCCTAGGATAGGTTCGACCTATCAATTTTTTGCTGCTGCCAAGTAGAGTACTGAACTTCCTTTATTTAATAGAAGTAGGCCTTGCCTAGTGCTACAATCATTTGTAGAACTTGCGAAGATGGTGGGAATTCCAAGTTCTTTCTACTGGTACACCATCTAAAGTTTCTAACTGGTAGGTTCCTGGGCGAATGATGGCTCTAACCCTGTATGGGCCTTCCCAGTTTTTTGCCAGCTTTCCTCCATCGCCCGGTCTACTCGCTTCTCTTCTTCGCAAGACTTCATCGCCGACTTGGAAATATCGCGGCCCAACCTTGTTGTCATGGTACTCCTTCACAACTTGTTGGTATGTACTCATTCTCACCTCTGCCGCCATCCTTCGTTCCTCGACCAAGTTGAGCTCAGCCAGATGGTCCTCTTCATTTTGTTGGGGTTGATAATTTGATTCCCGGAACGTTGGGAATTCAGCTTCGATGGGCAGCCTTGCTTCACACCCATAGGTTAGGGAGAATGGAGTTTCCCCATGTGCCCTCCTCGGTGTTACTCGGAATGCCCATATGATGTGCGGGAGCTCCTCTAACCACTTGTTTCCTGCTTCTCCCAGTCGTTTCTTCAAACCATCTACAATAGTTCTGTTAGCGTTTTCGACTTGACCATTTCCTTGGGGGTACGCCACCGAAGAGCGATTGTGCTTGATTCCGAAGCCCTCCAAGTATTCAGTGAATCTCGGATTTCGCAATTATGGGCCGTTGTCGGTGATTAGGTTCATGGGCGCTCCAAACCTCGTGATGATGTTCTTCCAAATGAATTTCTTGCATTGCTGCGTGGTGATGTTGGCCAACGCTTCGGCCTCGATCCATTTGGTGAAGTAATCGATGGCCACGATTACGAACTTCTTCCCTCCTTGGGCGACTAGGAACGCTCCAATGATATCAACTCCGAACCTAGCGAATGGGATGACATTCGATACAGGGTGATAGTAGGTCGCCGGTCTACCGGGATACTTGTAGAATACTTGGCACGTTCTGCATTTCTGAACATACCTTTCACAATTCAGGACAATTGTTGGCCACTAATACCCCAATAAGATGATGCGCTGGGAAAGCGTACGGGACATTTGATGCGCCGCTCATACTCCTTCGTGGACCTCCGCTATGACTCGCTCAGCCTCCCGGTTGGTCAGACATCTCAGGAGTGGCCCCCCAAATGCCCTTTTATACAGCTTTCCATCAAGAACCTGGAATCGGGGTGCCCTGAGCTTCACTTTTCTTGCCCGGTCATCTTGTTCTGGCAAGCTCCCATCCATCAAATATTCCATCAGATCATACATCCAATGGTCGTCCATCCCGACCAGGTTTGACCGGTCAGATTGGCTTCCGGCTGTTGCAGCGGCGACTTCCAATTTTTCGATGCTGGCTCGATCCAGGATTTCCACCCGGGCAAGTTTTGAAACATGCTCGGGAGCATACTGCGTCAACTTGGAGAGAAGGTCTGCATCCGCGTTCTCCCCTCAGGGAATTTGGGCAATCTTGAATTCCTCAAAGCCTTTCAACAGGGCAATCACGAGCTCCTTGTATTGTGCCATGTGTCCTTCTCTTGCCTCCATGTTGCCGGTCACCTGCCCAACGATCAGGCTAGAGTCAGATTTGATACTGTGGGCCGACTAAAAGTCCCGAACCCGTTCAGACTCGGGAGGTCGGTCTCGAAGTATAAGACGGAGTAACAAGCAGTCGAACTTCAACTTCTGCTAACGTACCATCTAGAACTTGGGAAGACCCCACCACTTGTGCTATGGTGGGGGCATAGGAGATCCTGGCCTACGGGGTACAACTGCCATCTCCCACCATTGCTCAATGGGCTTGTTGACCGGTAGGTCTGTAGTTAGACCGGTCATTTCTACCAAGAAGTCAGCAAGGGCTTGTCCCTTGATTGCTGACCTTGGCCGGTACTCAATGTTGAATTGAGTTAACATCATCGCCCACTTCACCATCCTCCCGGAGGATGTTGAATTTCGCAACACTGCACCCAGCGGTTGGTCAGTCAAGACTTCCACCGGGTGAGCTTGGAAGTAGGATGTTAACTTTTTTGCGGAGATGAAAAGCGCATAGGCTGTCTTTTCCATCGCCGTATATCTACTCTCAGCCCCGTTTAGTGCTTTGCTCACATAATAAATGGGCTTTTGTGCCCTATCATCTCTTATTAAAACGGAGCTTACAGCATTTGAGGAAATTCCCAGGTACAGATATAGAGTTTCCCCCGGTTCGGGTTTAGACAATATAATATCCGACGCTAGGTACTCTTTCAGCTCCTCGAATGCCCTCTGGCATTCTTCGTCCCATGCAAATGTGTTGGCCTTCTTCAGAACTTTGAAGAAGGGCAGGGATCTCTCAGCTGACCGGGAAAGGAACCGGCTGAGGGCCGCTAGACGACCGGTCAACTTTTGAACATCCCTAACGGAGGTAGGGGCTTGCATTTCAGTGATGGCCCAGATTTTTTCTGGGTTGGGCTCTATTCCTCTCTTGGTCACCATGAATCCCAAGAACTTCCCGGTACGAACCACGAAGACGCATTTCTTAGGATTCAGCCGGAGGTTGTATTTTGCCATGATATCGAATGTGGCTCGCATATCAGCCGGGTGGTTGAGAGATACCTGGCTCTTGATCAGCATGTCGTCGACGTATGCTTCCATGGTCTTTCCCAGTAGTGGCTTGAAGAGTTTGTTCACCATGCGCTGGTAGGTTGCTCCGGAGTTCTTCAAGCCAAACGCCATTACCCGGTAGCAGTAGGTTCCTTCGGGTGTGAGGAATGACGTCTTCTCTTCATCTTCCTTGGCCATGTAGATTTGGTGGTAACCCTTGAAGGCATCCATAAAACTTAGGAGTTCGCACCCCGCAGTTTCGTCCACCATTTGATCTGGACTGGGAAGGGGGTATGAATCCATCGGACAAGCCTTGTTCAAGTCCATATAATCCACACACATTCTCCACGTGTCGCCCTTGGGAGCAAGGACAACGTTGGCCAGCCAATCCGGGTATTTGACTTCCCGGATGTGACCAACACTGAGGAGGTCCTTCACTTCCTTCTTGACGAAGTCTCGCCGGTCACTGGCCAGGTACCGCTTCTTCTGACGTACCGGTCGACTTCCTTCCCTCACGGCCAACCGGTGGCAGATAACAGAGCGATCTATTCCGGGCATATCCGCCACGCTCCATGCGAATATGCCCGCGTATTCTTGGAGGACCCGTGTAATCTCTGCCTTGAGATCCTCGGGGAGATTTGCTCCAATTCTGACCATCCTCGAAGAATCACCCGGGTGAAGTTCGATTTCCATCGTCTCGGTCTCGGGCTCCAATTTCTCCCGGGTCTCTCCCTTTGTGATTTCTTGGGAGATGACATTGACCCCCTTGGTCATCTTTTTGACTGCCCGGGCATAGCACTCCTGGGCGTTCCTCTGGTCGCCCTTCACCTCACCCACACCACCTGGAGTGTGGAACTTCATGCACAGGTGAGGCATGGAAATCACCGCCCCGACCTTATTGATGCCTGGCCTTCCAAGAATTGCGTTGTGGACGCATTTGATGTCCACAACTATGAACCGCATCTTCTTCCATACGGTTTTTTCACCCGATCCTAGTTCGACCGGTAGAACTATGGATCCTTCGGCTTCCACTGTATCTCCCGTGAAGCCCGAGAGAGGAGTCTTCAGGGGTTCAAGTTGTGTCCGACACAACCTGAGTTTTTGGAAAGTCTCCAGATATAAGATGTTGACACTGCTGTCGGTGTCAACAAGTACCCGGGCGACATACACCCCATTAATGTCCATGGTGATGACCAATGGATCATTTTGATCTTCACCGGTGGGAGGGAGATCCCGGTCAGTAAAGACGATCGGCTCCCTCCTAGTATGCTTACGCTTGGGCGTTTCAGCGCCTACCTCACCAACGTAAATGCTCCGGACCCAGTTCTTCCGCTGCGCGGCTGAATCTCCACCCTCAGGTCCGCCGAAGATCATGCTGATGTGCTCTTTTTCGGGAGCAGGTTGCCGCTCCCTCTGCCGGTTATTCCTCCGCCGGTCGTTGTCCCGGTCATCTCCCGGGGCAGCTGGCCTAACCCATTGATGACTCTTCTCCTGGGCTTTCTGCAAGTAATCCTTGCCCAGCTCTCCACTGTCTATCATCTGCCGGATTACTCCCTTAACACTCTTACATTTGGAGGTGTTATGGGAATCTGACCTGTGGTACGAACAATAGGTGCCCGACCACTGCCGCCCTGTTTGACCGGTAAGGTTTTCCGGAGGAATGACCGGTGCTTTCCGGATTTCTTGGCATTCTTCCGTATTGACCACATGGACGACCGGGTCATAGTGGTGTCTTGGCCGGTTAGGTCCCGGTGCTTCTTCCTTCTTGACTTGCACCGGCTTGGGCTTGTAACCATGCTCGGCTTCTTTCTTCGCCCGGAGTTGAGTTTCAGCCTCAGCAAACTCCCATGCAGTATGGTAGGCCTCTTGGTACGTGGCCGGGGGTTTCCGGCAGAACTCCTTGTATAGTTCCCCGGCACGCAAGCCATTCAAGAGGAGGGATAAGACGATCTTGTCATCCATCTCTTCCAGCTTGTCTACCTCTTCCTTCCACCGGGTAAGGAACTGAGTAAGGTTCTCAGACTCCCTCTGCCCGGCTGTACTAAGATAGGTGAATTTCTTCCTCTTAGTACAATTCTCCTGGAACTTGGCCTTGAATTTCGAGGCCAAATCACTGAACGAATCAATGCTTCCCGGGCAAAGCTTATTGAACCATTCAGTGGCTCGGTTCCGCAAGGTCTGAAAGAAAAGAAGGCACTTTTCTTCATCGGTGCAACCGTTCATGGTTGCACTCTGGTTGAAGGAGTCCAGATGGATTTCTGGATCTTCATTCCCGGTGAATCTAGGGGCGTCGATCTTGACCTTTCGTGGGAAAGGTGTCAGATGGACTCTTGTGGTGAACGGGGACCCCGCCAGGGGTTTGTCCCGGTCATTCTTCTCCCCGACCTTCTTTTCCAGCCTCTCTAGTTTTGCCTCCATCAGCTGGACGCGGTCATTTGGGATGGTTAACCGGTTCGCCACCGGTAACCTGGGCTGGCTCTCTGCTTCCTCTTCCTGACGAGAGGCCCTCGTCCTCGCTGGCTCCTGCCGGTTAGACCGGGAGCGCCGGGTGCGGGCAGGCTCAGCCTCCCGCACCTCGCCTAACCGGGCGAACGCGCTGACATGGGCGACGCTCTGCCCCAGCCTCTGTTTGGCTGACTTTCTCTGGCCCTCCTCCCTGTCCCCCAGCCTTTCGAAGGCGAAGTTTCGGGAAGTTGCTGGGCGGATAGTCTTTCCTTTCTTCTTCTTGTGAGCCCTCGGAATGTCCCACTCGCCGTCATCACTCTCAACTGAGACGCAATGACCATCAGGGGTGACTTGCGGATTCGTACCTTGCGGGGGACGCGACGGCCCTGCAGCGTTAAACGCGCCAGTGAAGTTGACAGGGGCCATGGTGCTGACCAGCTGCGGCTGGAAAGGTGATGGCTGCAGCATCGGCGTCTGGAATGGCATCACTTCCATCGGAGCTTGTAGGGGCACGGTTCCCGCGCCTGGAAGAGCGGGCAGGGGTG